ATATATATATATATACACTTATGTATTATATATTAACTTTACCAATAATAGCTGTATTATTTTCGTCAATGCGTACAGCATCTGTTTTATCATTATATCCTTTAAAANATGTGTGGTCTAAAATATTTTCACATTGACTTGCCATGAACCAACCACAATAACCACATCGAATGTGCTATAAAAAATAATAATTATATTACATATTGATCATATAAAATTATATTATAATTTTTAATTTTTTTACTTGATCTGATGTTTTAATAACTTAAGAAGTTTTATATTTTAATTTTTATAAATAAATACTAACCTCCATATTGATTATGTCGAACTCTGCACTCACACATATATACTGATGCAAACGCGCGTAATACGTTCGAATTGTAATTGTACGCGACTTTTTGACACAGGCGTAAAGAAAACGCGGAACGTCTCTGATTGGTTACGCNATACGCGTTACGCGAAATATAACTGCATGGGATCGCACCCTTAGATTCACAAGCGAAGTCGAATATTGTAACGCTTGCCGTGAGTCTCAGATAATTCACACACAAGATACATATATATATATATATATATAAGCTTTCTCATTGCATCGTTAGTATATAATGTTTAAATATGTAGGCATACAGCATAATAAAAAGGTGTTAATTTTCTTAATAAAAAATTTATTTGCTTTCCAAACATTTATTGTTTGCAGTGATTCTGTAGACTGTTTTCTTTTTTTTTAGAGAATCGTTTTTTTCTTTATGCAGTAACTTTTTCACAATTTCTGAGTCTGCATTTGTACTAGTTTGTTGATAAAACAGGACGGTTCAGCATCTTCTTAATGTCAAGACAGGATGTTTGAGCAGATGCGAGTCAAAGCACAAGATGTTCGTGTGAGTGATTCTTTATTATTTGATACCCCAAAACAAATTACAAATGTTTTAATTGCGGCAAACAGTTTTACGTGCATAAGACAGCCTTGATGCACGCTTATTCGCGGATCTTTGTTAATTAAGATCTCGGTAACTATTGCGAATCTAGCAAAATGGTAAAAGACTATTCGACTCAGTTTTACTTCTTCTACTTTCTTCTGCCTACGAGAGATGTCACACAAATTCTAGGACACCCTGTATAGGGATATTATTGTTGTATATTTGTTTTTAAATTATTTTTTTATCCAACATCACGGAACATAGGAAAAATCTTACAATGAGTACTTAAGGTTATATACATCAGACGGCCTTGAAAATGTAATAAAGGATATCTGGAAAAAAGCGAACCTGCCAATAATAGGTAAGCTTTTACGTGACTAAGGTTAGCTTCGCATTTTTTGAATCTCGTGTAATTTCCAAATGCTGACACACGTAAGCATTTGGAAAGTATACGCTAATTCATATCTGATCTGATAAATAGATTGTCTAAAAATCAGTCATCAATTTAATATTTTATACAGTTTCCGTCTACTACATCCGACAACTATATACAACTACATCCCGTAATATTAGTTAGAGCGATAAAACACATGGTAAGATTCTTGAAAACATTAAAATCATGACAATTTGATGTAAAAGTTAATCACAATCATTTTTGTTTTTCATGTACTATGGATATAAAAGGATGTTTCTTCTGTCAATACGACAGACGAAACATGTATGTCCACTTCACCGGAGAAAGAAACATACCTAGAATTATGTTCTAGAACATTAGGTAGTAGGTGCCATGAAAGAGGCTATGGTAAGATTTTTGAAGACATTAATTTGAAA